TGTGTGCCTAAGGTCACACAGTGACTTAGAGCCAGAGCCAGGATTTGAACTTAGGTCTCCCTTGCTCCAAGGGCTCTATTGTTTCATTGGCTCCAGTGGCCCCCTCCAGTCCCAGGAGACTTCCATCTCACCCACTTGCCCTACCCTTTGTTCTAGGTCACCAAAACATGACAAAATATGTCTCATAGCTGACAGAGGCAGTCAGCTATGAGATATATTCTGCTCCTGCCTTATCACCAACTTGATATAAGTTAAGGATATCGGAAGCATTGGCTGAACTGGTGGCTGGTGGCTCTGAGCTCCTGTGACACATCCTTGATCTGGAAGTCACTGACATGGTGCTCATTCACCTCCACATCCCTGTCAAGTAATCTTGCCATCTCCTTCCATAAGTCTCAGTGGAGGGAAAAGCATTAACATCATGGAGCCACCAACCCCCAGCATCCACCTCCTTCTCTTCTTCCAGACACTTTCAACAAATATCAGCCCAATAATAACATTGACCGTGGCCAGGCTCCCTGCTGAGCACTTTCATGCATGATCATCTCATTTAATTCTCACAACAGCCCCTGTGAGGTGGATACAATGATCATCCCCATTGTTCATGTGGGAAAACTGAGGCTCAGAGAAGTGAAATGAATAGGCCACGAATTGCCTGTGGGTTTGAACCAAGGTCTCTGAGGGGTGGGTGCAGGAACTAGGACATCTACACTGGAGAAGAGGGAGATCATGGGACACAGTGCTAACTTTGAATATTTCTAAGTTCCTTTGTCTTTAACATGAGATAATTATAATAACATCTTCCACCATGGTGATGGTGAAGGAATGTGTAAGTCACTTCTTAGAGATACTCGATAGATGTTCATTGTTGTTACTGTTATTGCTTCTATTCCCACCTCCTGGAAGCCTTCCCTTTTTGCTCAGGGTCTCTTCTCTAGCCTGGGGGAAGAGGCAGCCAGATAGTCCCCCACTGCTTGCCCCTATCTCTCTGACTGCATAAAGCAGGAACTCAGGAGACATTGCTGGTGTTGGATGCTGGCTGAGTTCCCATGGTCCCTGTATCTAGGGTGGGCTCCATGTTGGTCAATATCAAGGCACTGTCCTCCTCCAATCTATACGCTAGTGTGGTGAGGCAAATGTTTCTAGACAATATCCTGAATGCCTCATCCCACTGGATGGGTGCCAGCTACCTGTTGGCAGACATGCATAGGACAGGTGTGAGATCAGGGGCTGATTTCCTGGCTTGAAGAGATGGGTCTGTGAGGAAGGATGGGTCTTCTCAGTAGCAGTGGAATGGATGGAGCCTCTGGAGGGAAAGGGGGTGCTTTCGGAAGCCCATGTTGATGGCCCATGGCAGTGTGTCATCCAGCAGGAGGCAGGAAGAGAATATGTAGCAATTGTACCCAAGGGAATGGTTATTTTTACATGTCAATTTTTCCAACCAAAATGTGAAGGGTTCTGAGTTGCCTACTTAGGCCCTCTAGTTATGAGTCACACTTTGATTGATTGATTCATTCATTCATTCATTCATCCATTAATTTATTCAACAAATACTTAATGAAAGTAAATAAGCACTGATGATATATTTTGATGATAGCTATAATCAGGGAAACTCAAGAGCCTGTGGGAACCTCAAAGGGGGACACACAGCCCTGTCTTGAAAAGTTTCTGGAGGAAGTGATGAAGAAACTCAGATGCGATGGAGAATAGGATCTTGCAAGTGGGAAGAGATGGGGAGTGGTGCTACATGTGTCTATAGCCTAGAAGAGAAAAAGATCAGGGCATGCATGGGGAAGCTATAAGAAGTTTGGTGTGGCTGAAACATACACTTTGACTTGGGAAAGGTGACAGTTGAAGCTAAAGATGTGGGCAGACACTTTGTTGGAAACTGGAATGGTTTGTGAAGGAACACGACGCACCCAGAGTTCTGCTTGAGAAAACTCATCCTCTAGGTGATGTTTGGAGAAGGGATTGGGAGGGGAAAGAAGACCAGAGGCTGGAGGATCCATTAGGAACGTGGGTCAGCAAAGGTGGGTGACAGATGCCCACTGTGGGTGTCAGCACCTGCACTTGCCAACTATGCCCCCGAGAGGCCCAATCTCCTCTTCCCCCATGGTAGTGAACTCTCTTGATGCTTGGTGGTGAGTTGGACAGGTAGATGCATGAGTGGATTCAAGGTGGACAGGAAGATGAAGGGTCTTCTGGAGCTCACCTTTAAAACCCAGCTCAGGTCACACTGCCAGGAATAAGTAGGCTGGCTGCAATGACTTTTTTGGTAAAATCTTCCCCTGATAGGGGACTTTTATACTTTCTGTTTATTCTAGGAATGGAGCCACCAGTTCATCTACTGACAGAGAAGCCAACAAGCTATCCCAGTCTCAGCACTTGCAGCTGAACTTCACTGTCAGCAACCTACTCTAATTCCAGCACATGGCCCAACCAGGCCCCACCAAACCCCAGCAGAACAAGGGAAGTACTGAGGATGCGGTGAGAGTGAGGTTGTATGTCCACTCTGTTCCCATGTAGGGACTCACCTATGGACACTGGGGAGTCAGAGGTTGACTTTTCACAACAATTCGTGAAGACAGGTTCTTATTCCCTTTTTACAAAGTAAGAAATAGGCACCAAGAGGTTCAATAGCTGACCCAGGGTGACATAGCTACATCATACTCTGGAACAAGACGTCTTTTCGTACACATACCTGGTCTACTATTTGCTGAGATGAAAAAATAAATGGGGAAGTGCCCTCCCTGGCTGAAAACTCTCTGAGGCCATTGACCCTGCATTCTGACCTAGGAAATATTGCCCTGTCTTTCACCTTAACCAGCTCTCCTGAAACAGAAGCATCAGGAGTTCTTTTTCTGACTGTCAAGTTTCAGCATTTGGCTGAATTTCAACTCAGGACTTAATGACTCTGAAAATCTCTCCTTTAAGTAAAAGTGCCCCCATTCCATAGCCTCTCAGTTCCTAGCAGCTATGGAAGAGAGCCCTTGGAAAATAGAGCTGCTACCTAAAATCCAGCTTCTTCCTAAACCAGTGAGCCCAACTGGTTTAGAAACTCAAGAGAGCTTGTGTGAACTCAGCAGACATGGAGGTGCTGGGCTCTGGGAGCCACGGAATATGGTTTGTAGAAATCATGTCTTAAGAAATCAGCTACTGAAGTCAGGATCCATGAAAGAACCAGTTGACTTAGAATCCAGCAGTCTAACCATGCTGTCCATTAGTGTAGACACTAACTACATGAGACAATTTAAGTTTTTTATATACCTATTAGAATATGATTTACATACTGTGTGTGCATGTGTTTATTTCTTAGGATTTCCTATATGCAATATCATGTCATCTGCAAAAAGAATTAGTTTTTCATCTTCCTTTCCAAGCTGGATTCCTTTTACTTCTTTTTCTTGCCAAATTGCCCTCATTAGAACATGTAGTACAATGTGATTAACATATGAGATGAGGGCAGACATCATTGTCTTGTCCCTGGTCTTAAATGGAAATTTTCAGTCTTTCACCATTGAGTACAATGTCAGCTGTGAGTTTTTCAAGGATTGTATTTGTCAGTTTGAGAAAGTTTCTTTCTATTCCTAATTTGTTGAGTGTTTTCTTTTTTAGGCATGAAGGGCGTTGCATTTTGTGAAATTCTTTTCTATATATATGGTCGAGATTACGTGGTTTTGCCCCTTATTCTATTAATATGCTGTATTACATAATCAAGTTTTCAGATATTAAGCCCACCTTCCAGCCAAAGGTGAGAGATTAAGATCTTCTCAAGGGGCGGCCCCGTGGCATGGTGGTTAAGTGCACACGCTCCGCTGCTGGTGGCCAGGTTCGGATCCCGGGCGCACACCAACCTACCACTTGCCGGGCCATGCTGTGGCGGCGTCCCATATAAAGTGGAGGAAGATGGGCACGGATGTTAGCTCAGGGCCAGTCTTCCTCAGCAAAAAGAGAGGAGAATTGGCATGGATGTTAGCTCAGGGCTGATCTTCCTCACAAAAAAAAAGACATTCTCAAGTCTTTCTTTGGTATGTACACAGCCCTGCACACTTATGGCCTTCTAGATCCCCACAAATACACTGGAGCTTTTCAAAGCCCTGATGGACATCTCATTCCCCCAATTTTTCTCTTAATCTTTGGCTCACCTCTTGCCTGCCTCAGTTGGTGTAGCTCATTCAGGTAGCTACAATGTAGAACAATTACCACTGATTGTTTTTGCAAGTGGCCTGGGAAACAGCTTTCCTCACTGAGCAAGCTCTGAGTCAAATCAAAATAAGCCCTGAAAATGGGGCATTTTCAAGGAGGTGCCAGACAGGTCCAATAGTGACAATTCTGTGGGGATAGGTCTTTTGGGAACTCCAAACTCATTATGGCTGCTAGGCTGCTGGTTTTCGCAGCTACCACGGTTCTGAGACAAAGTTACTGAGGATATTGTGAGAGCAGGATGGGAATAGTGCAATTTATAATGCCACAGAGCTTACTGCCTTTGTCAAGATTCAGCCATTTTTCTTATGTAAACATTCCTCAGATTGTTGCAAGCCTTTGGTTAACTTCTAGACTTCTGAAAAAGTTGATTTTGACCTTTTATTACCAGTGTTCTCATTGTTTTTATGGATTTTCAGAAGTCCTTTCTCCAACATTTCCCTGTGGCTATTTATCTATAATTCAATTATATTAAATTAAATACATGAGAAATTCAGTTCCTTCACTCACACACAGTAGCCACATTTTAAGTGCTCGACAGCAACATGGGGCTAATAATGACTGTATTGGGTAACGCAGACACAAAAGTTTACATCCTTACAGAAAATTCTTTTGAACAGGACCTAGATTCAGGGAATCTAGAATCAGGGTAGAATTAAAGACACCCTTGTTCATCCCTAGTGCCCTTCCAGGTCTGTCCCCCACAGTAACCACACTGAGGGACCTCCCTGTGTAACTTCTCACCATTGACATGGAGACAGGACAGAGTTGCCATCAGTGAGGATTCCTGTGGCTGGCCCAGCTACAGAGCTTTCCCCTTGACAAGAACAGTGTCCCTGTGGATGGTAAGGCTCCCTGGTCATTGGGGCGGGAGTGTAGTTTCCAACGTCCACACCTGGGGTCTTTCCTGAGAATCTGGAGGCCTGGGGCTAAGAGACCACCGAACATGCTTAGGCTGGCAGGAGGTGGCATAGTCTCCCAGGCTTTACTCACCATTGAGGGAGAGAAAAGGACCCCCAGTGGAATATGAGAGGCCCTTGCCTTTGTATAGACAGCCCTGTGACCTCAAGCTAGTCACCTGTCGCTGGACTTCTGTTTCCTTATCTCTGCCCTGAAAGCAACTTGGCAAGATGTTCAGTGAGGGCCTCTAGTTGTGTGTGAACCAGCATTGACAAGTGTGGCAGGATGGACCTATTTTTTCATCCACAGTCTGTGTAAAAATAGGAATGGGACTAACTTGGCCCACAGGCTGTAGTTTGCCAAGTCCTGCTCTATATCAGCATCATGGACTAGAACTTTCTGCCATGATAGGATGTTCTTTATCTATGCTGTCCTGTACATGGCCACATGTGACTACTGAATACTTGAAGTATGGTATTGTGATAGTTTATAGGTTACTGATTTTTAATGTTACTGAGACACCAGACTTTTGATTTTATTTAATTAAGATTAATTTTAATTTAAAAAGCACTTGTTGCTGCTCCTTACTGGATGACACATCTCTACAAAGTTGGCTGGGGAAAGATTCCACAAGTAGGGGGACCTGCAGCACTCCCTCCATGCCCAGTAGTTGCAATGTGTCCCTACCCTCCTGGAGTTTATGCCATAGTTAGCAATAAGAAGAAGAAGCAATTGAAAATTACAAATTTTTTTATGTGAACCAACCCATACTTGGAAGTCGTAATCAGAGAAGGCTTCCTGGAGGAAATTACATTGTATATGAATCCTGGAAAATGAATATAAAACAACTCAGTAAAGTAGAAGGGGATGAATGTGTTTCTAGGCAGAGATGAAAGGGTTTGAGTGGGAATTTACAAATTTAGAGAGATCTTGTTGTCTTGCCAACTGTGATGACTCAGTCTCCCCCTGACCGTCATAAGATGGCCCAGCCCAATTTCAATCCTCTGTCCCTAGAGGGATAAATTTGTTTTAATTTGTTAAACTCTTGTAGTGTGATAATGACTTGGATTATGTAGCAAAGTGTCCTAATTTTTCACAAATGCGGACAAGTAGGGTGAAATGTCATGATGTCTACTTGACTTAAATATTTCAGTGAAAATATGGGAGAAAGCAAAGGTGGTAAGTGTTATAAATTATATATTGCATGAAATATTGTTTTAATTGGATGAAATATATAGTTAGGTCTAGGTGATGGATGTTTCTGATATTGTTCTACTTTTCTGTGTGTTTGAAAAGTTTTATTTAAAAAAGTAAAACACTCATGTCTTCTCCATTTCATTCACTCTCAGGGTCTTCTCCCAACAGAAATGATGCCTTGACTGAGAATTCTGGTAAGCCTCAAGGAAGCCCCAGCTGAGGGTGGGGAGGGAATATCTTGATGCTGTGCCTCATCAAACAGAACCATGCGCACAGGGTCTTGGATGATGATGAAAGTTGGCCAACCCATGTCAAGGACTAAAGAGCACAGTGAGGGGATAGCAAGAGCCTGGGGAGAATGACAGGAGGTGGCACACACCAGCACTTGTTTCCCCAGACCTCCCCTTCTGGGCCATCATCCTCGTCTGCTTGGCAGGACTCCTGGTGCTCGTAATATGCTTGATCTGTCTCCTGCTAAGCAAGGAAGTGTTGCTTGTCTTCTTATTGTTGGGTTGTAAGAGCTCTATATATTATCAATAAATATGCTTTGCTAGGGACATGTTTTGCAAATATTTTCTCCCATTGACCACTTGATGTTCATAGCTCCTTTACCTTAAATCAATAGTGAGATTATCAACTGCCCCGCATTTAGTGACTCACTCCCATATCCCAGATATTTCTATCAACCCACATGGTCCAGTTCAAAAATAAATAATTCAGAAAACATATTCTCCCACCACAAATTCCTGATTTCCAGTTTTTACTCAAGCACTCATAAATAGATACCTGTTCCTCAAGATTGGAAGTGATGCCAGATCAACATATCCTCACCTTCATTTCTCTTCTCCTATTCCTATTATCCCTGGATTCCATGGTGTATGATCTCGATAATTCCCTGGGAATATTCCAAAATTTCTTACTACTCATCATATCTGACTTGTAATTCAAGCCCAGAAAATCCCAATTATCTGCCATGCCTTAGCTACTGCTGGTCTTTTGTAACTGCTAAGAAAAGCACACAATGTAATATGTTGGTGCCACTGTAAATGCAAAATCATCTGCATCACTGGGAAGCATCCATAATGCCTGGAAATTTTGCTTTCTCTCTATGTGTTGGCATAATTACTCCTTGATTTTCACAAAGCTCATTTCAAATATTGGCTACTTTTCTTTTTCCTTCATACATATTCAGGGTCCCCTAACTTGCCTGATATCTCACAGAGAAATTGCTCTCTCTGCTCCTTCCCCTTAGTTGTGAACCACTGAGAAAAGGCCACCTACATCATGTGTCTCTGTGGCCTCAACTCTAACCACCTCCTCAGAATGCCCACACTCCATCTGGCCTCACCATTCTCTGGTGCTCCTCTTGGTAAGGCCACACTGCCTCCTTTCTTACTAGACCCAAGAGGAACTTTTCATTATTCATGTGACGTGATCTTTAAGTGGAAAACTTTTAAGTATATTTGGAATAACTTAGGTATATGAATCTTATGTTACAACTGTGAACACTATATCTCAATACAGAGAAATGTTTATCTGAAAAAATTCAACTTACAAATGGAGATTTTGCTATAAGTGAAAAGTCCAAACTGGATTTGTGGAACTCAATTAAAAACCAGAATGTAAACTATCACATTATTCATTTTTATATAGATTGCATGCACGAATGATAATATCTTGGTTATAGTGGGTTAAAATATACTATTAAAATTAGTATCACCCGTTTGTTTTCACTTTTTTAAATGTGTCTACTAAAAAAGTTTCTATTTCATAATATGGAGTGCTAAATTCTACTATTGGACAGCACTGGTCAAGCCATCAGTGAAAATAAAGCCCAGAGAAAGTGGTTAGGAAAAATTTTTCCCGAGAAAAGGAATCTCCCCTGGCCCCCACCACAAGATGCAGCAAACACACACACACACACACACCCACTGGAACTAACATCCTCCTGGAGTCCCACCTCTACTTCTCGAATGGCTTATGGTTGCACTCTTACATAGTTGTAAGTGGACCAATCTCAAGAAGGAAGTCAGAAATAAAGATAATTTACCAGTTATGAAGATCTACAACCAGAGACTAAAGGTTAAACATTTTTTTGAATTTCCCATCTATGGTTTCTGTTATTCATTCAATATGTTAGGGAGCCTTTTCAGGGAAGGTTCTTTTAAAACTCTCTTTTTCTTTATGATGTAAAAATGTACAAGATACTTAAAGAACAATTACCCTAGCCAATCAATGAAAAGGAGATGATAGAACATGAATATCATTATTATAAATCACTACTGGATTAGTGAGTCAGTCAGGGAACAGATGGCATTGGATTAATTCGGACCTCATTAGGCTGATTCTGATTTCTGACCGTCATATTGATTGTATTATGCTAGGACCTATGAAACATGCCACCCCCACCGCTACTATTTAACCCCAAGGCCCAACAACCACACCAGTCCTTGCTGACCAATCCCTTGGCTCTGCCTCTTCTGACAAGACCTGGAGGATTTTCCACAAATCCCACTCTGTCGCTGAGATCTTCTACCTGCCACAGGCCAGGGAAATATTTTCTCCAAGGCTCACGCTCTGTGTCCCAGTTCTGCAGATGGCACTCCTCCCTGGAGTGAAGAAAAGGATCAGAGTGCAGACCCTGTGAGCTGCAGCCATGGGGACAAGGACTGGGGTGTGCGACAGAGAGAAGAGAACAGTTACTGGGCAGGGTTACCAGGGTCCAAGAATCCCCAGTGATTCCTGGATGGAATCAAAGAAGAGGATGCAGGACAGAGCAGGGACGTTTGGGGGTGATTCTGCTTAGGGGTGCCTGTAGGATGACATATGTGATGTTGGTCACGCACTCAACGGTGTTGTTCATTCATTTATTCATGTTATATCACGGAGTGCTATCTACATACATACAGGCACTAGTCTCACCTTCTAGAGCTTATGGACAGTGTCAGAAGAATTTTTAAGTTTTATTTATAATATATAAATATAGCACTTGTAATGTGCTAGGTGTTCCAAGCATTTTTCAAACACTAAGTCCTTTAATACTCTCCATGACCTCACAAAGTAGGTACGCTTATCATTATTGCCAACTGACAGATGAAGAAACTGAGGCACCAACAAGGTAAGTAACTTGCCCAATACAAATATCTGGTAAGTGATTGAGCTGGAATTTGAACATAACATGTTGGCTCCATAATCTGGTCTCAACCATGATATTTGCTCTCTAAATTCTTCACACTGTGAAAATATTTGATCAACTTTATCCATTTCTGTTAGATCCAATAACCCCACTATTTTATCTGTGTTTGAAAAATATACTTTCATAGAAACTATTGCACATACACACCCAAATTACTTCTACAAATATCCCCTGTCCTTGAAAATTAATATACATCATTTCAAAACACTTCTTGCCCAGGCTAGGAGGGCTCCCAGGAAATTCCATTGTTACTCTAATAAGACAAGAGCAATCTGGGAGTTGAGTCTCGGGGGGAAGTGACGTCAGGAATTGCCGTGGAATTACCAAATGGATGGCAGAGTGTCAGTAGTAACTGAATTCAGAATCTGAAATTCGAGATTCAACCTGGGGGCTCATTTTCTGGCTGTGGGTGTAGGGGCTGGTGGTGCATCACAGGGAGAGGGAATGGCTCACTGTGTTTTTGGGGAAAAGAGACCATGAAAGTGAGAGAATGATGATTTCCTTTCACAATGCACTTTTGGCGGGAAAAATTCAGTACGGAAGAGACAGTCATGTGCCTGGTGTAACCAGAAAGATTTGCATCTGCTTCAGCCAAAGCAGACAGCCCTTCCTCATGGACTCACTTTACCTAAATAGGACCAAGAAGGAGAAGATAATGTCATGCTCTTCTGGATGTGAGATGTGTGGTGGTAGAGACTGTGCCTAGGTGGTTCTGAAAGGCTTCACTGAGGTGACATTTGCTGTGACCAGAATGACAAGTGTAAGCCACCCCTGGCTGTGTCTGGGAACAGTTAGTGTGTCAGGGAGAAGGCACCACTGGTGCAGAGACTCACAGGAAGTGGGTTTGATGAAAGTCAGAAAGGCAGCAGATGTGGCTGGGGGGAGCCTGAGAAGAGAGAGGAGAGGCAGGGGTAGGATGGCAGGGCAGATCATGGGACCCAGTAGACTGTGTTGGTTTCTGTCCCTCTCTAACATTGTTCCATAATCTTGTACCTAAGAATAACAAATATTTAATATCTTATAATTTCTGTGGGCCAGGCATTGGGCACAGCTTAGCTGGGTGCCTCTGCCTCAAGGTCTCTATGAAGCAGGGGCTGCAGTCTCTACTGAGGCTCAACTGGGGGAGGATTTGCTCCCAAGTTCATGCACATGGGTGTTGTCAGGACTCATTTGGACTGAGAGTCTGAGTTCCTATCCTTCTGTTGGCTGGGCACTCTCCCTCAGTTCTCTCCTATATAGGGCAACTGAAAACACAGGCACTTGTTCTCCGGGTTCCAGAGATACGACAATGAGAGAGAGAGAGAAACGGGGAGTGAGAGAGGGAGGGAACTCAAGAAAGTGAGTAAGAGGGACGTGACAGAGTTTTGTAACGAAAATTTGGATGCCAGGTCCCATCACCTTGACTGTATTCTGTTGTGCCGAAGCCAGTTAAGAACCCCTTAGTGGTCACACAAGGATGTGCACACCAGGAGGCAGGGGGCATTGGGAGCCAGAGGAGGCTGCCCACCACATAAGCCGACTTGAGGCATTTGGGTCTGATTCTAAGTAAAACAGGAGCGATAGAAGGTTTAATGCTAGTGGAGGACGGTATCTGAATTTCCCCTGATTTCAATCCTTTAAAGGTACAGACCTGAGCAGGAGGCCCAGAGGGGCAGTGACCTTCCCAAGACCACACAGCTGGAACCCAGGCCTATTTTGAGAGGTATTCCATGCCACATCCTTCTCCTTCTTGTAATTCTTGCATCTCTAAGTTTTTGCATCAGACACATGTACCACCAGCCCACAGGTGCTGTAGATGTTATCTCATATGCACCTGATCATGTCCCTAGGCAGCTGTTTCTAGCATCATCCCCATTGTGCAGGTCGACTGGGGAGGCCCTGAGAGGCACAATGGTTTTCTAGGACACAGAACTGGTAGGAAAAAAGAGGTCTGAACTCAGCTCTGTCTCTTTGAAGCTAGAACCCTGGTTCCATTCCCTAGGACTTGTGGGCAGGGCTGTGGTGGATATTCCTGTACAGTTATGGAGATGACATGGGCAAGGAAGGTGAGCAGTCAACAGCCCAGAGGGGGCCTTGAGCAGGTTTGATTGAAGGAAGGGGCCCAGGTAATGGAATCTTGGATTAGTGACCTCACTTCCTTGGTGACAGACCCCTACAGAACTTAGAACTCTGGTCACCAGGCATCCTCATTCTAGAGACAGCCTCCTATACAGGCAGCTCACTTGAGTGGAGATGCTCAACACAGCAGGATGTTCTCATGTTTTTCCCTC